GAACACGTGATTATATATTTTATGTTATTTCTTTTATATATATATATATATATATATATATATATATATATATATATATATATATATATATATATATATATATTAGTAATTTTAACAAGAATATATATAAATCGAGCAATTTTTCATTTCTTTCCATGACTCGTTTTTTTATAACTTCATAGCTTCCAAGTTAGGAATTTTGCAGACAATCATCGTGTAGAATCGTTTCTTGTCGAAAATAATTCTTACCCGTAAAATAAAACAAAAGTTCTTAAAACTGAAAATGCACGGAGAAAGACTTTAATGTTTTGAGTACTTGTAAAATTGACGTGCTTTACTGATAATGAATATTATTTCATTTTTCACCTTTCTGTTGCTGTTATCATTTTGATGCGAGAAAAGAGAAGATTTTCACTGTCAAGTCTTCGTTCGTTCCAATAATAAATACATTTGCATTTTCTTTCATTCTATTATTATTCAGTTAGTTAGAATTTGCAGCAAACGCTTTCAAATATTCAATTCTCTTATGATTTGTGACATTTGCACGGGTAATATTCCAGTGGAGAAAGTCGAATTACAAAACCAAATTCAGGTAAATATTACAGTATTTGTTTTTTTTAAATACCAGCCGGAATGCAAACTCATGAATTGATGCTTCACTTTTTTAATCATGGAAGTCGCAAAGAATAACTATTTAAGTCCAGTGTCAAGGGACCGTTTCCCCAGGTAATATCTCACCTTCAACTAGTTCCAAGAGTTCTGTGTAACTTCTTCCATACTTACATTTGAAAGATACCTTTTTATTTATATCGGAATTTCACTCGTCAAGTAAATTGAATTGCGTTCTCAGAGCCGCTAAAGTATTTCGTATCGTGAGAAACGTTAAAATTCCCTTTATTTCCGCCGTGCTTAGAGGTAAGATAACTGACTAATGTCAGATCAGTCGGGTTTCGATCCCGCCTTGAATCAAGAGGACATCTACCCACACTGAAAAGCTGTGATACAGCGAAACAGTCTGTCTGTCGTTGACTCTATATATATATATATATATATATATATATATATATATATATGTGTGTGTGTGTGTGTGTGTGTGTGTGTGTGTGTGTGTGTATATCTCTGTGTCTCAATATATATCATTTTCTTACATCGTCGTGGACCCTACAAGAACTTTCAGCCGCTGAGTGTTTGGACATATTTTACTACTCGGGGAACCATGCGGCATATGCTAGTCGTACTCGGCTTACGTCCTTATCATTATGAAAACACCAGTTCCCTTACGATGACCGAATTTCACCAAGGTAGGTGCTAGTCAGTACCTGAATGCGTGATCGCTTCTGAATACCAGGTGCTCTAAGTTCAAATGTGTGGGTGGCATAGCTAATAACAGCTCGGAATTCTTAAACGCAAAGCTGAGTTTCAATTCCAGTTGGTTGCGTTATATTCACTTACGCGCAAATATTCTTGAGAAAGCTACACACCAGCTATAGGTTACACACTTGTGTCGCTAAATAAGTATTATCTTCCCGACCCCACCAATAATCATGCAATCTAAAAATTATTTTATCGTTTTAAATAAACTGCAAAGGGTTGATAAGCCGTAAAAATGATTCAATCAATCTAGTCGTACTCGCAGAGTGACGTTACCTCATAGTAGAGCGTAGCTTCACTTGGCGTTTTGTAGAACATGTTTGCAGCAATTGCGGGGAGTTCTCAATGAAGTGAGGGCCGAACTACACTTCTCCTTCCGTTCGACATTGAAGTTATGGTTTTGAGGAGATATGGTTGCATTTAGGGGTGAATAAGAATTGACTGTTTGGTTTTGCTGGAATTCATTATAAGGGAATAAAACTCTCCATTCCTGAAAGGATCCAATCAGGGAAAATGGCAGCATTCTTAAAGAAGTTTGAGAGTAGAATTTCAATCATGTCGGATGGAAAGTTGCCCCAGTCTGCATCCTCATATCGAAAAATTGTTCTACGGAAGGGTAGGTCAGAAGTTGCGTTAGGTTTGCCACCAATGTGGACACTGATTATGAAATAGATGCAAGCATTTATCAGGTCAGGAGGGTACACACACACACACACACACACACACACACACACACACACACACACACACACACACACACACATATATATATATTCTTAAATATTCATTTTTAATTCCATATCATTTCTTTTTATTATAAACATGATCCTCGTAGGTACGTGTGTTTGAATGTTTATTCCTATTTCCTTCGAAATTGGTGAACTTAGTAACAAAGAATCAAGCTGGAGAAATTCTATTAATTTACCTACCAACATGAATCGAATTTGTATCTTATTTTTACATGAAAATGGTTTATTTTGATCAAAATAATGAAGCCGAGTTTCTGTAATAATAAGATTAATTTCCTTAAGAAAAAATGGAGCACATCGTAAGTTACTGTCGAGAGGCACATTTATTAATCGTAGGACCACTCGATCATAACCGGCTGTTTTTAATTTCATTGTTCAAGAAAATAAAAAGCAGGAATAATTACTTAATCGGGTCTATCTCACAAACATTACATTTATAATAATAATAAAATATATATATATATATATATATATATATATATAGTTGAAATGTGTGCTAAATTTATGGGATAAAGTGCTCAATATGAGAGAGAGAGAGTATGTAAATATGAAAGTGCACATCGAAGGCAACACTCAGAGGCGACAGGCGCCTAGCATGAAACAGCCTGCCGCTTCTGAGTGTTGACTGACTGCAATATTTACTTATATATATATATATATATATATATATATATATATATATATATATATATATATATAATTCCTTTTATATGTACTATTATTTTTTGCTATATCAGTTATGACAAATTTAGTATGAAATTGAATATAGAATGAGTGCGGTATTTTAGTTTCATTTGACACTTCAAATTGCTAAAAACAGAATATTAACTTCAAATCTCGTGTCATTTTCTTAAATATTCTAGTTGAGATACTATAATATGAATGTTATGCATGACGGGCCATTCAAATGGATGTCATGCATGACCCGACATTCATATGGATGTCATTGCATAACGCGTAGCCTCTTCCGTAATGTCTAAACTGATTGATTTACAGAACCGCTTTCTAAGTTCATACTTCTTCCAAACTTGTGGACTGACGCTGTAGCATCACAGACAAATTACGGTTCCAGATAACAGAAAGCAATTTACTCGAGAGCTTTCAAGAACAGCAGCAACTAAAATGGATAGCACATGTAATTCGAAGAGAAAATAATTGTATAATCAAGATGAAGACCTTCCACACTACATTAAACAAAGGCTTAAGAAAGAAACGACCATCAACACTGAAAAGAAGGTTTAGACTGAACTAGAGAAACCTTTTATCCGCAACAAAATCTTAATAGAATATTTCAACCAACAGTAGCTTTCTCCTCTTCGTTAATGAATGCCAAATATTTCGGCAAAAGTTCTAGGTCTAATATAACAATTTAAAATTTAGTATATTGTGGCTTAGTTTATTTGACAGGAAATTCCTCAGACTTCGAGTACTGTTCTTTTCTTTTCGCCCTTTTCAACCGTAGCGTTTTAATGTTTTCTGCTATTCTTCGTATGTATCTGAACATTAATTAATTTAATAATATTTGTACAGTTTAAAAACCACTCTATCAAAATCATTTCGACTGTGGTCATCAAATTCTCCGTACGTCGATAATTTTTTTTCAATTTTTTCTCTTGTCCTGTTTAATAATACTCTAAAAACCGAATAATTGTTAAATCCAATATATCTATTCTTTTAACCATGTTGACTGGACATAACAAATTTCGCGAAAATGTTATCATTTTTTTTTGGTTACTGTTCTATAATTAGTTTTCTTTTTTAATAATCTTGATAGTTGTGGTTCTATTTTGTGTTTAGTGTCCTGATAACTTCATTGTCAGTTTTATTATGTTTTATTATAGTCAGTTGTATGATTTTTGTCCCTATGATGTGCCTTTTGTGCATTATTGCTCTCCTTATGATGAGTCTTTTTCCTAGTTTATTTATAAATAAATTCCGACCACGATATTGCCCTTTCCTAAAAATCATTCAAGTAATTAAAATTGTGCGACCATTCCATGAGATGTTTCGTCTTATGTTTTTCATTTTTGAAAGAATATATTTGTAATTTTATTCGATACGTCACATCCTGTTTCAGCGTTTATTTCCGGTACTTTATTTACCCGCCTTGAATGATTCTGGTTTCTTTTACTTTATATCTCTGTTATTCTTCCTTTTTTTATTCATGAATATTTAATGAATATGTCTTTTCTTCATAAATAATTTTCTTTTTCCATTTTCATCTTTTAATCTTTTCTTTTTTTATTTTCATCTTTTAATCTTTTCTTTTTCCATTTTCATCTTTTAACTTTTCTATTTCCATTTTCATCTTTTAATCTTTTCTTTTTTATTTTCTTCTTTTAATCATTTCTTTTTTATTTTCTTCTTTTAATCATTCCTTTTTCCATTTTCATCATTTAATCCATCTTTTTCCTTTTTCATCTTTTAATCTTTTCTTTTTTATTTTCGTCTTTTAATCTTTTCTTTTTTATTTTCATCTTTTAATCATTTCTTTTTCCATTTTCATCATTTAATATATTCTTTTTCCATTTTCATCTTTTAATCTTTTCTTTTTTATTTTCATCTTTTAATCTTTACTTTTGCCATTTTCATCTTTCAATGATTTTTTTTCCATTTTCATCTTTTAATCTTTCCTTTTTGGTTTTCATTTTCTTCACATGTCATCATTTCTTTTTTATCTAATTCTTATAGATTTTTTTTCATACATTCTCGAATTTCTTCTCATTTTTGTCACAGATTGTTTTATCTATTCTTAAGTTTCTAGACATCGATTTTAATTACTTTTTTCGTTCCTCATTTCTTTTTTGATTTTTCCATTTCCTTATATTTCATATTTCCATATTATTTTCATTTTTTTTACTTTGCATCTTTCACTTACAGGTTTTCTTTCAAATTTACACTTGATATCTTATTCTTTTCTATGTTCTCTTTGTTTACATTATCGCCAATGTGTCCCCACTCTTTTCTCTGCTATAATCACTGTTTGCTATCGGTTTGGGAAAAGAAAAATCATCCAGACACGATCTGAAAAGGAATTTAAAAAATACGTATAAAAAAAAAAATCAAGAAAGCATCAGTAAAGTTTATACATATACATATATATATATATATATATATATATATATATATATATATATATATATATATATGCACACACGAACTCACATATATATATATATATATATATATATATATATATAACATGCTTCGAACTCATTTGGTCAATGATGTTTATTATTTATCATTGTGGTGTCTCTATTTACTGAGAGTTTTAGCTTTTCAAGGGAGAATGACTGCCACGTTTCCTCTCTATTGCCATCTTGTTTACAGTTTTTTTTACTTTTTCTTTTTTTTTTTTTTGGCATTGATTCCCAGTCAACGCCACCAACAGCACAAACCCCAACGCTATAGTGTCTAAGATGGAATGGTTTCGTCCCTTGACTTTTTGGCTACGATTCTAGCTTCTTTTTATTCTTGAACAAGGCGAGTTGAAATTCCTCTAGTGGGAAGAATGATTTCTAAAGATATCGCTTGGAAGAATATGCTACGTGGTTTCAACACTTGTCTTCGGAAAATAATCTTATAGGTTGCTTAAGAAACGGCAGATTCTTTTCAAAAGACTAGCTGTCACAAGGAATGGGACAAGAATGACGCCATGCTTTTGCAATTCTTTTTTTTTATTCTTCTGCACATGCGCACTGAACATTTTTCAATTCTTTCTTTATGATTACTCAATAACATTTTGATTGACGAGAGACCAGAGATGAAGATTGTGAAAGACTGATATCTCTGCCTTAAGTGCATATCTAAATGGTTAGACAAACGATCAAACCTAGTAACAAAGGTAAGAGGGTTTGTCATACTTGTTTTAACCAGGAGGTATGAGTTGAAGTTTTCAATAAACCACCCCAAGAATTTACGTAGGTAAGAAATTAACTATAAACTGTGAAAACACATAGGGATTTCTCCGGAACTTTTAGACGTGGAGAGGTAGATTTACATGGAATTTTGTCGGTTCATAGGAAACATTAATACTTTAAAATTCGGTATTAATTAAAAAAATAAATCCAGTATGAAGTAAAGGTTTGTAACAATCCGGTAATAATTATCAGTTTTAAAGATATCCAGTATTTATTATACGTTGTAAGAAAATCTGGAAATAATTATAGACTTCTAATATATACCGTTTTAAATATGTATATTTAAAAAAAAAATTATTAATTATATGTTTTAAAAAGAATCACGATATTAATTATTGGTTTTATCAAGTAACACTTTCTTAATTATAGTTTTTAAGAACATCCGTAAATGATTATAGCCTTTTAATACATTCTCGATTAATTATATGTGTCTAAAATTGCATTGTTAATTTTGTTTTAAAACGAAATCCGGTATTAATTAGAGGTTCTAAAAACAAATCCGGTAATAACTATGAGTTTCTAAAAATCATCAGCAATTGTAGGTTAAAGAACGTAATTGAACATTTCTTTTAAAAAATTACGTATTAATTCTATATATTTTCCTAAACAATCCTCTGTTGATTAAAGGGTTTTTTTTTTGTTTTTTGGGGTTTTTTTTAGATACATGCGGTATTAATGAAAGGCTTCTTAAAAATTCACTATTAATTAGAGGATTATGCAAAATTTTGCAAATAATTAGAGGCTTACGAAAACCCACGCCGACGTAGAGAATCTTTTTCTGTTTGATGCTAAGCTCGAGATCAACACTCTGTACATTATTGACCTCTGACATGAAGGGTAGCGACTATATAGACTCAACTGACTAATCTGCTACCAGAATAGATAGTGCATTGTGTTGTGCCAGAAAAGTTTTCTCATCAGAACCCGTCTCGCACGTTTATAAATCTACCATTCGACCGTGAATTGAATATTGTTGCCATATCAGCTGTACATCTCCAGATTCTTGACAGAATTCAAAGAAGAATCTCTAATAGAGTCGATCTTGACCAAACATGTCAACTTCACTCACTTTCTCATTGAAATGACGTGGTTTCCATTTGTCTTTAACGAAAATGTTTTCATGGAAATTACTTTGACGAGCGTATTGCCTACATGGATTTCAGCGAGCTAGTAAATTGTTAATTTGGCCCAGCCGTTTTACTGTTGATGTAGCAAAATGCAAACCGTCACTTCTACTCCAAAAGTTCCTTTTCTCGTACTTCCAACCCGTGGAAAACCCTTCGGTTTTCTTGCTTCCTTTATAAATACAATCTTCAAAAATTTAAATGCAACGTCAATCGCCATCTTCTGTCTTCTTGAAACCTGGCCATTTTTTGTCTATTCCTCAATCCTCATTCTTCTCATTCTCTTTCATTTTTACTCCCTGCTTAGTGTGAAATGATTAAAAACATATAATCTTC